GTGTTTTGTTTGTTTTTGTTATGGTACGGAAAGAACAGCCACTTGGGAAGCCTTGGGATTATAATTTAAAAGGGGCTTCAAGAACGTAATTCTAAAGGTCAGAGATTAAGGCAATAATTTTAAGTGTCACTTGGCTCTCAAATGAGGTTTTCTGGTGATGGATTATGACATGATCCATTGACATGATAAAGCACTTAGTGTGCTACTAGAGGCAATAGGCTGAAATAGTTTTTTCTTTCTTTTATGATCATAGTAGTGAGTCTTTCATATGCTGTTGGTTTCATAGAGCAGAAGATTATAACTTGCATTTATTGACACTGAGTAAACCATACCCAAAATATGATTGCTTTGAAATACTGAGCATTATGTATTAAAGGACATTGGAAGGTCTTAGAAGCTCATTTAAAGTTAAGTCCGTGCTGACCCTGTTTCTCCTCCTCCTCTTGATCACTCTTTCTGAAATTCCCTCATCTGACTGAAAAAAAAAAAAAAAATTCTTCAAAAAGCATTGTCTTAACTTCTCTCTGTAGGAATCTCATCAAATAACAAGGAAAGATTAACCAGCAGAGAACAAAAGAGACTAAAAGTTGACACCATTCCCAGGCAGACTTTTCACCTATGCCTCTGAGGACAGCTCCAAAAGATTACCTGGGAGATTTTCTGCCTCATGTAATAAAAGAGCCTTTGTTGGCAATTAATTTCCATCCCTCACCTCCTAATAACCTGTGGCTGCAAACTTGCCCAGGCCAGAGAAGAACTTTGTCCCAGCCCTTGTCCATTCTTGGGAGTTATCCATGTCCCTCCTAAGAATCATTCACGACTCTTGACATTGCCCGATCCACTCTCATTTTCTGCTCCCATTGGGAGATTAGGTAAGTTTTTACTCTCTGACCCTTTGGCTCTCATATTTCTTATGGCTAGCAAGCATATCATATTCATAAATGTGTGTATTTCTTCTCCAATTATCCTTTTGCCACTTTGTTTCAGTGAGACTTCAAAGGGTAAAGAGATATTTTCTTCTTGTCCCTACTGTTTTACCATCTAAATGAAATTTGTAGGACACATTAATTGCATTCATATAGGGAAGTAAATGGACATGTGGAATTTCTATGTTGAAAATCCTGACATATTTGGGGTACATACTTGTGGTTTGTGTGTGTGTTTAATTTTAATAGAGGGAGATTGACAAGTATATGTACACTAAGTGATAAAAATGCCTTATTATCAAATAATGTGAAGCCCTATGCCGACTTTATTCACTGTGATATGTATCACAGTGTAGCCTGTGCTTTGAATCAGCAACATACAGGAGGTGTCTTATATAATATTTCCAAATAGTTCTATAAAAATCAATCCTATTCCATGAGAACAGCAATGTAAAGGGTACACTTTCACCCTGAAATGCCTGCTTTTTATATCCCCAATCTTTTTTCCCCCCTCAGCAAGTATTTGACTTTTAGAAAAATTAAGTGTTTTCTTGCAGGGTGCCGTGCATTTTGGCCAAATTTCTGCTTGTAGCTCCCATTGACTTCCAGGCACCCAAGGTGAAGAGAAAGGCTTCCCAGCAGCGGTAACAGCAGCAACAGTAAAATCTGGAATAAGGTGACAAAAGGATCAAAGCATGAAATAACCTGTGCAAAAAAGTGCACTTTATCTCCATTTATTTCCATTTACAAAAACTTCCTTTGAAGCAATCAATCTTAGGGAAGCGGTATTTTAAAAGTAGTTTTTAAAAGTGAAAACAACAAGGCTGCACTGAAGGAATTAATAAAAGCATAGTTTATATGTATTCAGAAGATCCACCAGTACTTTAAAACAATCTGAGTTTAACGTGGCAAATTATCTGTCATTAAAATGCTAATGAAATGGTAAACAGCTGCAAAGTTTTTTATGCTAATGAATGGTGGCAGCTAAGTACTTCTGGAACCTCGTCTTTATTAGCATAGAGAGTTGATTGGGTAAGTAGGATCATTGTGCATTCTGACCTTTGTTGATGGAGCAATCTGTTTGTCAAGTTCCCTGTTGCCTTCTATTTGCTTTGTTAGTACAAAGTGAGTCTTGGCAGGCCCTTGGGACCATGTATTACACAGTGTTATCAGAGCCGCCATTGTGGCTTTAGAGAAAGAACTTTGCTTCCCTTTGGGAGACCTACAGTGGCAAAACAATTACAAATCTGTTCAACAGCCAGCTTAAATAGAAAGATTCTACATAGCGTACTCTTTGTGGTTTATATTTTTAATAATTGTAGTAATAACAAATCATAAAAGGCTGTCAATCTAATACAAGAAATATCTGTAGCTTTCAATTCAGCTCAGAGTTTACAGTAAAGCTTTTGAAGTCAGTGTTTTAGTAAGTGTCTCTGCAACATTTGATATATTGGTACAATATATCATCTTGGATCTGCAAGTGCTGAAGTTAGCCGTGGATGTAACATTACCTAAACAGAAGAGGAAGGTGTAATTAAGTGTGGATGGCTCTGTGTGCAGCGGGCTGTCAGAGTGCAGAGAAATGTTCTAAGGAGCAACCAAGGTTGAGTAGCAAAATTTATTGAAAGAAAAAAAGAATAGGTAATAACAATAGCTCCTGAGGGACAGGAGGGATCCTTGAATGGGTTGCCAACAAATTTACATCTCAAAGGAAGTTTTATAGAGCAAAATCACAGGGCATGTACAACATGGGTCAAACTTATGATCAACCAATAAGATTACAAATATAGTTGCTTAGGTAATATTGTTCCAGTGGTAACAAGGCCATATGAATGACATCGTTAATCTTGGTCTATAATCTATAGTTCAGGTCTTGTCATAGTGGATTGGAGAGGAGGAGACAAGAGAAGATCTCAGAAGGGGTTACCAATAATCTCAAACCTTAGAGAAGCATGTAAATCTAGCCATTGTGACTTTAATCCTCTTCAGGTGCACCTTCAACCCCTGTCCCCTTCCCAACTGCTGCACTGACTTCCTCCTGAATGAAGCAGCCCTGTCTGACTGCCTACAATATTTCCACTTCACGTAGCTGATGATAATATCAGAAAAAAAAAAACATTGCTGTCCCATCTGTACTTTTAGCTGATTCTACCACGAGCGACTCCAAATTTCCTAATGGATGGGGTTGACCTAAAGAATTGTTATTACAGAAAAGTGTTTCAGGTGTCCTTTTCTGTTTTCCCATTCAGATCAGTAGAAAGGAGGTCCAACAGTCCATTAAACACTATCACCAATAATCTTGCAGAGTGATTTGAAATACGATGCAGCATTTATTAAGGAAACTTATTACAAGAAAAGCATCAGCGAAATAGGAATTTTAATGATTTTGGGACTCTGTGTAAGAAATTGGTGGAAATTTTAATAGTTACAGCATTTTCTCATAGTGTTCATTTCTCCTTGAAATTAGTAGGGGATTTTAGGCATATAATTAGTAGACGGTTCTATACAGACAGGCCAGAAGAAGTTGGAAGCCTTATAAACTATTAGTGAAAATGTAAAAGGCTGAGCCTCTTTCAAAAACAGACAATTCCTCAAAAGGTTAAGCATGTTATTACCATATTGCCCAACAAACGCAGAATTCACACTCCTAAGTACATGTCTGAAAGAACTATTGACATAAGTCTACGTAAAAGTTTGGAAGTAAATGTGTGTAGTAACATTCATGATAGCCAAAACTGGAGACAAAACTTCAGGCATCCATCAACCGATGAAAGAAAAAACAAAACACAGAGTCTTCACAGAAGACTGTTATTCAGCCTTGAAAAGACACCAGTGACATTCCCTATTCTGATGCATTCTATATGAATACATTTTGAAAATACACCAGATGAAAGAAACAGTCACAATCAACCCTAGAGTGCATGATCTCGTTTATCTTAAACGAAACGTCCAGGGTGAACAAACCTATAGGGACAGAACATAGGTGTGTGGTTGTCGAGTGCTAGGAATCTAGGGAGGAAATGGGGAGCGACCATTTGGTCATAGGTACAGGAATTCTTTTGGAGGTCATGAAAAATATTCTAAAACCAATTGTTATGAATATGCTGAAAATTACTGAATGTTTATACTTTAAGTGGGTGAATTGTTTTGTATATGAATTATACCTCAATAAATCTGTCACAGTAAAGCAACAGCAGCAGCTTTGCCTAGGCTACTCCCAAAGGGCCACTGCACCAAGAGTTAGAGAGCCTCTCTAACACGGAAGCTGTAGGCTAAAGAAGAATTCATTTTCTTGGGGAACATTTTCTAACTTCCTATTCATCTGCTTACAGCATATCTAATGAGGTGACAGCTAATACAGCGGCTAAAAGGATTCTCTGTAAATAGTGCAAAACTCACTAGAAATATAAAGTGAGAGACAAAAATATGAATTTCAGGTCCAAATGCTTATTACTAATTCCCCAATACCATGTCCGCTGCCAGGCTCTGTTATTCAACCTTTCTTGATTTTCTAACTAACCAGTGTCTAGACTACCCATTTCCCTCAAAGTAAGCACAACTTTCAGCTCATTTTTAAAGGAAACAAAATGAGTCATATATATATATATTTTTTTTATAGCAGACAGTAACCGTAAGAGTCCAAGTTTTCTTCTCTTTGTAAAACCCCTGCAGTTATCTTGGATTTACATAAACATGCATACTAGCTCTTCAGTCTGAACAGTAAAGAGCATCTGGCTTCAGGAGGTCCCTCCCCTCTCCTCCCTGCACTTTTGGTACCAGGTTGGACCCCAGGCCCGGCTCCTTGTGCCCCACCTGCTGGTAGAATCTGTGTACTGTGCGTCTCCCCAAGGTCGCGCTGCCTGTTGCTCCAGCCATGGGAAGTGTTCTGCCTCACTGTCCAGCAATGAGGAAGAAGATCCCTTCTCACTGTTTCCTGCTCCTGTGGCCCTTGTTTCCTTCCAGCGTGGCTTGCGCACAGAGTGCAGCTCAGTGGTCTTGCTTTTGCACTGTAGGCTTGGGAGGGAGATGGGTGTGAACGAGAGACTGAATTCATTTTTGTTTTGTCCTTGGCAGGCAGCACATGCCACACCACTACCCTTCCCGCTCTTGTGCGCGCACCTACCCTCATGATGCAGCCTTCGCTGGACATCAAACCATTTATGTCTTTTCCAGTGGACAGTAGTTCTGCTGTTGGGCTCTTTCCAAATTTTAACACAGTGAGTAAATGCTTTGTTAATTTTACTTGCGCGCTCCTCGCTTTTTCTTTTACTACATTCGCAGATAGGCCGTGGATGGAGTCTGTTTTCAAAGTATGTAGCGTGAAGCCGGTTATACTGCTCAGCTGGGCTTCGGAATGCGCTGCATTGTCTCTGAGAAGGAGCTCACTCAGTAGCCAGCATGTTTGTTTTACAAATAAGTTCGCAGATGACTTTTTACCTGCTGCATTGTACAGTTCTGATAGACTTTTCAGTGGCTTTTGAGCTTATATTATTTCTGGGATGCTGTTCACGCCTGCTCAAGAACATAATTTAGAGATATCAAGCCACATTGATTTTTCTCTGCTACCAGAAAGGGAAAAAAACGGAGGTTTTATCTCCCTGGGTGCCTTTTTATCTGGGAGATATTTTAAATAAAATGAGACTTTTGCACAATTTTTATTTAGTGGTTCTTGCAGAGTATGTAAATCTGACTCCTAGTTATAAAAAAAAATTCTCACTCATTTTAAATTTATAGATTACTTATATTGTTTATTTGCATGAGACTTAGACATTCTATTTAAGATACAGGATAAATATTAGTGTGTTACCCATAATCATCACTGTTCTTCATTCAGGTAAGCGGACTTTCTTCTATTTGAATAAAAGACACTTTGTAGGGATGCCAAGCAGAGCATGACGTCTTCCAACAAAAGAATTCCACATACAATCAATCTATAGCCATATTTTAGATGTACAATGGGAAAAAGGCTGAACAGTTCAAGCGTTTGCATGAATTACGTCTGTCGAATTGAAAAGTGTAGTCAGTTGGGGCATGACGGTCTACACGAATGAGACAGCATTACAAATGCTACCATAGTCCAAAGAAAGAATTGCGTTATCAACACTAGCAGACAGTGCGCATCTGAAGTCCTGCCAAACGCTGCCTTTTGCAAACTTATCTTCTATACAAAGTGAAAACAGCAAGAGGATTTTTCCTTGGGGGGGTTGTAAATAAAATCTGCTGACAGGCTTTTGTCTGGACTTATTGTCGTAAAGGTAATTAAGGGGTAGAAGGTCAGCCAACTCCTTAAAGAGTGCTTGCTAGTTTTGATTTTAGTGAGTACAATTGAATGTTTTTGTCATCTTTGGGTTTTCAGAAATGTATCAAGCAGGTGTTTGTTTGGGGTGTGTGTGTGTGTGTGTGTGTGTGTGTGTGTGTGTGTGTCTCAAGGCTCAAAAAAGTGAGTGCTATTTCTAGTCCAGCTCAGTAAGATAGATCTTGCCTGCTTTGGCCACAACACGCCAGGGAATGACATTCCCAGAGCACCTCCCGCCATGTCAGAGCTTGAGCGCGAGCACACCCATGGACTCGCTATCAAAATATCTGTCATCCGTTCCAGAAGTAATTGAATTCAGCTGTACTTCTTAGACTGCTTACCAGGTTCTCGTGTGATGATTAATGTACACTCAGAAGACAGCGCTTGCAGGCTCTGCCCAAGTCCAGCAGCTGTCAGGAAGCAGCGTGGTGGATGGGTCAGGGAGGCAGCAGTGGCTCCTTCCGCAGGACACCTGCCATGTTGCTTTGACTTTTTTTAACGCAAGTAATATGTGAATGTTTATTTCAAATACTCAAATAAACCATTAGCATTCATGACAAGATGAAAATGTGATCACTCCCTGCCCTGCACACCCTCTCTTGAACTTAGAGGAAAGCGCTACCAGCAGGCACCAGCTCTCCATCCTCTGGCCACTTGTGCAAGTGTGCTGAGTACACACCTAAGGGACTTCGGTCCTCGCTGCATTTCAGAACTGAAATCACATGCTAGCACTAGGCCGTAAGTCACTTTTTTAGTTGTCAAAAGGCTTTCATATTGCTCTATATTTACAGGCTATTAAGTGAACAAGCAAAAAGAGATCCTCTCATAAATATTTTTATAAAAATATAATTTTTAAGATAAAATGCGGTTTCATAATGACTTACTAATGTCGCATGACAGCTGCAGATGTACTAGCATCCTTCCTGGTTTGTTTCTTGTATGTGACAATTTCATGGTATATTTGAGAAAGCACAAAGGACAACTCTAGTGTCAAAAGTTCTCTTTTTTTTCCTTTCTTAGAGGAAAATAAATTTTTCATTTTCAAATAAAGATACTGTTGGTTACAATGAAAAATGCTACAGTGAGCTACGTGAAATTTTACTCTTTATTTCACCTGGGTCATTTGTTAGCTACAGAGGCCTTCTGATAGAATATTAAAAATGAAGTCAACCCAAGTGAGACCCTTTATCATTTTGTAGCAAAATGAATTTATTAATTGGGTTCCCTATAATTTTTCACTTGGAATTGCAATTTAAATTACTTTTGATCATTTTTCTTTTTTAAATTATTTTTTTCAAGTTTTACTTTTTCTTAGTGTGCATCTGCAGTACATAATGATCACATTCCTCATGGGAGTTGATTTGTGTAGGTGACACAACTTCTTTTTTATTTTTTATCCCTTCCCTCCCCCCTGCCTCCATGTGTAGGTTCCCTTGCCCTTTGCAAAGGATCGAGCTTTCTATTTCCAAAAACCCAACATTTATTGCTTGTTATTTATATTTTGAGTTTTTTACATAAGCGAAACTAGGCAATATTTAAGCTTGTTTCCTTCTGCTCCTTTTTCTGATAGGCTTTTCATTCCAGTACCCAACTCACTTAGTAGATTTCCTACAGAAAGTTTAGGAAAACCACTGTCCACACTCCTCTAGGAAAATATTACTTTATTCCTATTAATAATTACCTTGGATTACCAGATATTTATGATGGTTTTTATACTTGTGGTGACTTTTACCTTTCAGAAGTCTCAGACCAGAAATATTATTAGAAGCAATTGTTGCTACTCCTATTGTCCAGAGGAGGAAAGAGAGTCAAGGAAAAACTAGGACTGAAGTGAAAATCTTCCAACTTTGTACCTCGTGCTCTGGCTGTTTATGTCCTCAGCTCCTCTGGCCTGTGTCACATCCTTCCTTATTCATGGCACATGAAGCTCAGTCAGAAATCTGTTGTTCTCTTTTATGGGGGTATGGTAGGCAGTTTTCTGCAGCATCATCAGGGAGGAAGAGGAGATTTTTATGCATGTGAGAAATAGATGGCTACAAAAATTATCTGCAGAGCAGAATGATTTGAAAAGCAGCTCCAATTTCATATTGGCAAATTTTAAATGTATGTTGCACTTAGTAGTACATTTGCTCTTTGAAAACCAAAGTGAAGTGAGGTACAGTGGCACACGCCTGTAATCCCTGCACTTGGGAGGCTGAGGCACAAGGATCACAAGTTTGAGTCCTGCTGGAGCAATGTAGCAAAACTCTATCAAAATAAAATTTTTCTTAGGGAAAAGGACTGGGGATGTATCTCAGTAGTAGAGCACCCTTGGGGTTGATCCCCAGTAGCACAAACAAAACAAAAATACAAGATGAATCCTACTGCATCATTTTATTTTATAACCAAGGCTGATGTAAATATAAGAAATGAGGTCTATTGTAATTATCAGGAGGATTAAAACATTGTGCTCTGAGACTTTAGATCTCTTAAATTTTGCAACTTTCTTTAAACAAATTTTAAAACTATAAATAAAGTAATGGTTTCCTCTTTTCTTTTTTTAATGGTACAATGTGATAATAGTACATGAGCAACAACAAGAATTGAAATGAAGTTATGTCACATCCCAAAATAGGTGCAGGTTCTGCATTAGTTTATGTAACGAAATACAACATGCTTCACAGCATTCGTTCAGTCCTGTCCTGCTTCTTCCTCTACACACAGGGTTCCTGACACAACCCTGCTCAATGCTACCTATGGAGAACAAGCAATTGAGGTGCTGTCCAAACAGTTGTGAAGAGACAGGCTAAGAAAGCTAGTGTCTGAGTCATCCATAACTTATGAGGGGCTCATGTCAAGATGCAGGATTGCAGCACAGTGAAGCCAACTGTGTGCTTCAAAGAGGGGCTGTTTTGAAACATTGAAAGGCAAAAGACTCAAGTATAAAACTGTGAAGGACCTTAACTTGCTATCTAAAGCCTCCTAGGCTTCTGTGCCTGGCCTCCCATTGACCCTCACTTCTACCACTGCCCTGCTACTATGACTGTTTGTCACCCAGCATTTGACCAAAGCATCCTTTTCTTCCCAGGATCTTCTATGACTCTTCATGTCTGAACTGAAGTCTCAGTCTCTGAGCTTCGAGTTAACTCAATCATCACTGTGCTTACACCTTCCTCTATTTATCTGATCATTGTGGTTACCTCTTTGTCACAAGAATGTGAGCTCCTTGAGGACAGGAGCTATGCCTTATTCATTTTGGTGGCTAATGTCAGACAGAAGTGATACCTTTTTTGAAGGAAGGAAGAAAGAAAAGTACAGAGGAAGGGCCCTAATTCCTTGACTTTCAGTGTTCATACTTCCCTAGCAAAGTGGATATTTCTAAGAGAAAGATTTCTAAGCTTTCTCTAAGTACCAAGAAATATGCCCAAGTGTTTGCTTTTATTTTTAGGTTTTGATAACTGTCATCTTTTTTCATCTCAAGGCAATAGTTTCAAATTTTTTCTCCAGCTGTTATCTCCAGCTTTTTTTGTGTGTAGAAAAGGTGAAGACTTTGGCAATTATCTACTACATTCTTTGTCTTGGGCCCTATTCTTAAAGAGTATTTAGTTGAAAAACAAAATTATTAGCTATTGTTTTGGGATTTTTTTTGTGGCTGGCTCAGCCCCCCCACCACCACCACCAGGAGGGGGCAGGGCTGGCACAGCATGTTGTGCAAGGGAGCAAGCCGTGTCCCTGCGCTTGCCTAAGCTTGCTTAAGCTTGCCTAAGCAGGCGCTTTAGTCCACTGAGCTGTCTGGCTGGCCCTGTTAGCTACTGGATCTTATTGAAAATATAATACATGTACTAAAGGATCTTAGGTTTGGGAATCAGTGTAAAGAAAACAAAAATACGTTGTGTCCAAGGATCTTGTAAGAAAGAATAAATATACTTGAAAGAAGCAAGACAAT